AAGATTTAAAGGGAAGCTGAACACCATAAAAACATATTGGAAAGCTAAACACAACTCAAACAAACAATTAAATAGCTCCGCTTGAAAGACAACTCAAGTTTTGCATCGTACATATTGATTTAGAAATTTTAAATGCTAGTAATCTGATTGACATAGTCATCCACTTATATAAATTACTCATGCAAGGAGCAAATTAATAGGGAGCTGAGATAGTAGTTGGTTAGCTGTAAACTACTGGTCGAGGCATAAAGGGCTGCTAGTCAGTTGAGGTGGTTATATTTAATGGAGGGAAGGCCTATCCACGGAATGCATGCACAGTATAGAGACGAGAAAAAGGGTATGAAGTCTTGAGGAAAAATAGAGAAAACAAGTATCCCAAATTCCTGCATTGTCTACTTACAATCATGAAATCTTGACAGACTCCATGCATAATTCTCAGAATCCAATACAGACATAAGTTCCATAACTTTAAAAAATATTAAATACCAAAAATGAAATATGCAAATATTACCAGACATTGACACATATATGCATGACTGTATAAACGAGAGTAGGCATAGAGATCAACATTATATTAAATAAAGTCTGGAAGTCGAACACCTCATACACAAACATGCTTGATGTGCTTCAACTACTTGATTTAAGAGTGCCCCATTCCTTTTTTTTCTTTTTTTGTTAAACTCTTGGACACAGTAGGATATGCTTTAGAACACATCACGCACATCTTATATTGTGCCAGTGCATGTGTTGCAGATTTTTTTTTTTCATTCAGCGCAAGCAACATCTCATAATCCTCAAAAAGAAAAATATAGAATGCAGTTCTCTTACCATCCAAATCAAGTACAAGGGTCACAGCCTTTCTTTTCCGATTTTCATTAGGCAGCATACTGGGCTGAAAGTTTGTTATCACATCTGACAGTTCTGGTAAATTTTTTATGAACAACTGAGGATCAAAACACTCTGTCTGATCTGAGTCAGAGCTAACGTTGAATTCAAGGCTCAAGTTATTCCTTTGATCGACTACTCGGTACAAACTAGAATTACCAAAACCAGTGGATGATTCTTCAGAAAATTTAGCATCATCTGAATTGCTGAATTTAACGGTGTCCTCGAGGAAAGGAAGTAACATATACTGATCAGCAACATCAGACAATAGAGTAGACTGAGTATACTTGTAGTCATGAAAATAATTGATGTCACCAATGTCATCATTTCCACTTAAAGGCAAGTTTGTAACTATCATGTCAGAAATAAAAAAATCTGATATGTCACATGTTTGACTGTCATGTGAGCTTCTGTTATTTATCATCCCTTCATCAGTTTCCATTCCTGGTATATCAGGATCAAGTTTGCTCCCTGCAAAACACATAAGTAGACAAGCAGATAAGGGCTATAGCGAGGGTTATATTCTCCGTGTCCGGAGGTAATATATTTTTCCATCTTCCAAGTATTGCCAAAATATATAATTGCAAGGAGATATGTCAAATCTGAAGTTCAACAAAGAAATGAAAGCATGAACTTCAAGATCACAAGCACAGCAAGATGGTCGTGGTTCAGAAAACTTTTCTTAGTTCCAAACCAGCCTTCAAAATTTCTTTTCACTAGATGTTAAATCATTAATTGAAATCAAAATATGTAAAAATAATATACATTTTAATAGATGTGTCCATATGGTGCTTAGGTCCTAAATTCTTAAAAATTAACATTCGACTGTGTCTTTATCTTGTAAGCTATTATGTCCCTATGTGCCAGTGTCCATATTCTTCCCATTAAATAAATAAAAAGTTAATACCTGGATCATGTTCAACAATAGGATGGCACTGGACTTCGATGTTATTCAAAATAGGAGAAAAAATTGTCTCTATTTCGGAAGAGTAGGTTGAGGTGCAATCCTGTACATTTTCAAATAAAAAAATTGTCATAATAATAATAGTAGCACTAATAATATTAGTTGTAGTAGAAATAATAATAATAATAAAAGCAACAAGAACAATAATAATAATATAATGATGATAAAAATGTCTGAAAAATAAAAAACAAAAACAGCACGACAAAAAGATAAACTAAAAATAAACTTTGAAACTACCACCCTTACAAACGGTACAACAAACAAGAAGAGAAGAAAAGTCAATATATGACAATAGGCAGGGATTCTTAGACTCCCTAAATTCAAGTAGAACTAAATTGGCCCTTCCCAAAATATAGGATTTGGGAAACGATCTTCATTTCCCAAAAACTGCACAGCCCTCATTTTGCTCCTATTTTATACAAATGCACTGCACAAATTGTTTTCACATTATCATCCATACTCCACAGTGTGAATCGTTTAAAATTCATGGATATAAATTGCTAAAACAGTGCTTCCGATGATCTTACAACCTGGATTTTCACTAAATGTCTAATTGTATTATGAAAACCCCATGTGTATATAATCTAGGAACCAACAATGCTGACATGAGAGGATGCTCACGATCTGGAGGATGAAGTATCAAAATATGTATTTGCAGTTGATCCTTCAATAAAAAATAAAAAATACATAAATCACTCCACACCATTCCATTCGTATCTGCAGCATTGACTGAAAAAGGTTTTTCCCTCTTCAACTCGAAAGCTTCTCCGTGCCTCGTCAATTCAGAAGTTTCTTCATCAACTAATTCCCAGTGATTAATGGCTTCCTGATTTATATTGATATTAATTGATTCTGTGTTCAGAGAAGCTGCACAAGAAACAAATATCAGTACCCAAAAAAACATAGCAACGTAATTGATATTGATTGATATGGATGAAACATAGTTTGATTTCTGAAAAAACTTCTATTCTATTGATATTCATGTTCCTTCGATAAGTTTGGGAGGGGAAGAAAAAGATACAAAAAGGTAACAAGTGATTAAGATTACGCTAATGTATTTGTTTAAGATGCTAGTGAATTACACTGTTTCTTTTTGTAACTTCATACTTCCAAGTGATCAAGCATTTCCAAATATTTATTAGCAGACCAAAGTAACAAATTTAAATAGGTTGAAAATGGTTAAATTATCTAATTTGTCCCACGTGCTATAAAAAACAAGGGTCAAGCCTTCACTTGAGATGCATTTCTCAAACTATGGACGCAATCAGAAATTTATTTTTAAATAATAAAACAAGATAACATTTAAGTGAAAAATAAAGAAAGAAAGAAGCTAGAAGTCTCTTGCCCTCTAGACATTTTGCAATACAGCCATCCAATTCATCTGCCTCATCGGAAACCCTCAGGTGAGAACAAGCTTTTTTAGAGATGACACTAGATTTCTGACAAACACGAAGAACATGCTTTTCTCTTAAGCAGCCCGGGCTTGACTTGGCCTTCATTTTTATTGATGGCATTTGTCCTGTACGTTTGATATGTACCAGTACGTTGATTTAAGAACATCCGTGGAAAACAAAAGCTGTATAGCACACAATTCGAGACCATAAGTACCCAGATATAAAAATCCAACGCATCAACAGATGGAGCAACCATCGGAAATTTGTATGTAGAAAGAAAAATCAATGCATGTTTCTAAAAGGAAATAAAATTGTTGGTACTTCACAGCTCAAGGCTATTTCACACACAACTCAAAGCACCACAAACATCAAAGGGGTAGCAAGAATTAAATATTGAATTAGAAAATTTGTCAAAAATGCATAAAACTTGTTGTGGCATGGTATGTACGGAAGCATCGTGGGAAAGTGACAACTATGATATTTGATAGGATGATTCTTCCCCAAGAGATAAAAATCGGCCGTCGCAAAGAAGCAACCAACTATTTTAACCCCAAGCAAAATCCAAAACCTTAAGGTGTTAGAAACCCTTTTTCAAACTCTGCAGTCCAACAATTAATTAATAAATAACACCAAGAATAAAATCTAGACAAACAGGGATTACAAAATTCAGATCATATTACAAAAATCCAATTTTCAACGTAAAAATAAAATAAAATCAAAATTTACAGCAAAGAACTAAATTACTCTCCAAGAAACAAGTAAAAAGAGTAACAGTAGTAAAAACTTAAAAAATCTTCCGAACTCCAGTAGCGCGTAGCGGTAAAATTGAAGACCGAAATAAAGGCGGTAAGAAAACAGAAAATTCTCGAAGTCAACCAGAGCAGAAGTTCCATCGGGGAGACTCAGCAGGAAAGATGAAAAGAACTCAAAATCGAAGTCGAAAATGAACTATGTGAAGCGAAAACCCTAGAGAGGTCGAGCAGATTAGTTGAAGCCATAATCCTTGAAGGAAGGCCAAGCAAAAAGAAAAGAAAGTAGAAAGAGCAAATTGAGCGACCGTAATTATGAGATTGAAGTGAATCAGAGAGAAGAGAAATCGAAGGTGGAGTAAAGAGAGAGAGAAGAAAATTCAAATACCTGGTGAAGAAACAGAGTCCTCCTTGGTGGTGGTTGTTCTTCTTCCCCACCTCCACCTCCACCTCCTCCTCCTCTTCTCTCTCTCTCTCTCTAAAAAGTTCTTCAAGGAATGGTCAGAGAGAGGAAGATGTAGAGCTTGGGGACTTTAAAGACGGCTCTGATGGGGGTATTTCTAAAATGGTTGGACCGATAGAATTTGGCCACGTGGCTAGTGGAGCCAGCTAAGCACACCGCGTTGACACGTGCACCTTCCTGGTAAAGGAGCTCGAGGTAGATCATTGTCTACGCTTCCATTCCAGTCTCTACGCAGCTCTTTCATTATATATATATTTTTCTTTTTTAAATGATTGTAAACAATTAATTATTCCAAATTCTCTCACTCTCTCATTGGTTGGAATTTGGATAAATCAAAACACATTATTTTATTTATTTCTCTCTCCTTACAAAATATCTCAGGTGATGTTAAATATTTATTTGATTAAGAGATCACTCAATATTGACTAGTTAACGAATTAATTGACTATGTTCGAGTTGACCAGTGGTTATTTTAAATTGACTTTTAGAAACCTCGAGCTAGAGAATAAGAAAAATGACAGTTGGAGCCAAAAATACGGAATTGATTTAGAACACAAAAGGACCTTGACATCCAAAGCCTTTCCTGCCTCCATAAATAAAGCAGATGCATTGATAAGTGTTATAAACACAAGCAATTGATATACAATTGTGTGGTTCCTCTCAAAGCTTCTCAACCAATAAACACAATCACCTGTGGTATGTACATCACATTTGCCATTTCTCAACCCAACGTTAAGGGGGAAGGCAAAAAGAAGCTCCAAAAATGCAGGAAAAATTGTAAACCAATTCAGTACACGAACGACAATGAGCAGCCGAAACCAAAGATTGTTCGGGGTTCCATTGATAAGTACAGCAAACGGCGTGACACCGACTGCTCCATCTTCATCCAAGTCTTCTGACCAAAACACTGCAGAAAGCAGCTTACATACAAAATTTGCATATGTTTCTTCTTCCCAATCCACATGTACTTGAATATTTTCTCAAGAGTATCAATTCAGAAGCTAAAGATCTAGGCCGAGGACAACGTCGGTTTTAGCATTTGTCGGGCCTCTCGCCAATGTTGTCATTTGGGGGACTTCCTGCAAAATCAGTGGAAAGTGACCCATTCACCCCCCATATATTGGATCCCAAATTGGCAGATGGCAGATGTTCTTGGAGGACCTGCAAAATGAAATGATAATGATAATAAGCAGAGACCACAGATTAGTATTACATGTACTGTGCTCAATTCTGGCTTTATATCAGAATGAAAAATGAGTTTTATCCGCTTTATATGTTCCATCATGTTTACAAATGAGCAAGGCTGAGTCAGTTATATTTGAACTTTTGACCTGATTTCCAACCTTTGGACCATCTGAGTGAAAAAGAATGGGCCGGCAGCGCTTATCTTCATTCATTAAGCTCGAGTTTTGAAAATGACTCACGAGAGCCACCTTTCCTTGGATTCGAGCGTAAGCCAAGGACGCAACTTTCTCGCTATTGAACTTCTCCCATCGCTTTCCATCGAACGCCTGTGCAGAAAAACTCAAATACTTGGACTGCAGGCTCTGACTCAAACATATTCAATGTAGAATTCTAAAATATTAAGTCAAGTAGCCAAAGAAAGAAATAAAACCTCGTAAAAGGATACTATGTGTTGAGGAGATAGCATATTGATGAAAGCATAGCCAACGTTGCATTTATTCTGCACGGTTTAAACAAAAACGCCAACGGGTTGAATTTGTGCGAAGTAAAATAGCTAAAAGAAAAAGTCCCAACATTCAAAAGGATAGTTTAAAGCTACCTTAAAATCAATTGGCAAATAGAGAAAATCATAAGTGCTCCTATGATTTTCATCAATGGCAGCTAATAACATTTTTGACGTGTACCTGTGGGAGAATCATTTGTGAATATTCATGACTAGTAAGAGAAAGAAGCAAGACAAAGGACATGGTAAAGAGCTGGTCTTATCTTACTTATTCGGAATGTTTTTTATCATTAAGGTGGTTCGAGTGTCTTCTCCGCCCTGAATTTTATCCAAGTCGAGCTGAAACTGCTTCCTACTGTCAATCTGATTTCCATAATTCTCAATCCATCCACTTCTGCCAAACTCATTCAAACCATCCACGCTGTTCGGCAGCAGTCCCAGGTATGGAACACTACCTGAGAACATCGGGTTCAGCACAGATGAAGACATCATTTGAAAACTCGAAGGGCAATTTTCAGACATGTTTCTTGGTTTGGTGATGGCGGCTTTTACAGAAGCATTTGAACTAGAACCTAAACCTCTGAATGCAACAGGACCCATCAATGAAGAATTTGGTGACTCGGAAAAATACCCGAACTGCCTCTCTGATGGGACACCAGATGGAGCAGATCCAACATGATGTGAGTGAGTGCTCGGAGTAGAACTGAAGATAGAAGTTTGCCGGCCAGGAAATGGAAATGTTTGACCATTTCCATTGGATAAGAAATGATGGTTTGCATAGGATCTTGACCAAGCAGAAGAACCAGAGGACTCCGAGTATGAATTCTGATTCCCCCAAAAAGTTTGGGGACTCCGAGTAGATCCACCCGATGTGGGAGGTCCGAATGAGGACATAATCTCATAATAGCGGCTTGGTTTTGGCTCGGGAAGTGACTGGGATGGTGGAAAGGCAGCTACATGCAATGGATTTATATAGGTAAATGGATGGTCCATGATGTTACCCCTTCCTTGGTCCTTACCAATGGGAGACGCCTTCACAGTACTTCTTGTTACATTAGGAAGAACTGAAGCCAATCCAGGCAAACGGTTGCCACCAGTTGGGCTCATGGATGAAAAACCAGGAAATTTACTAATACTTCCCATTGAACTAGGTTTAATCGAGTCGTTGACGGACAACCATTTCCCTGCCACAGATGCTAGGAAAGTTGGAAATGGGAAATTTTCTGTAGTAAATAAAAAATACAAATACACAATAATGAAATGTGTGAACAGTGATAGTAATGTTTCAAGGTACCTGGGGGAGAATTGATCACCGGCGAACCAACTTGATGGCGAAAACTCCAGAAATCATCTTGTTCAAGTTCTTGATTGAGTTGCAACGTCGAGCTGGAGGGATTGAGATGACACAGAACAATGATTCAATAAGAGTGTTACTATAAAATGCATCACCTTCTAAGGTTTGCTTACTTCCCAAAACTTATCCCACAAGAAAAAAGCTATATTTATAATGCAAGTCAAAAGTTAACGGGAAAAAAACATAAGAGAAGAAGAAGCAAACATAAAAGTTCTTGAATACACACTTTCGACGGGCTCCACCAGGGCGACTTGGTTCTAGCTTTATGCGTTTACCAACAATGTCAATTCTATTCAATGCCTTCAGTGCTGCTTCAGCAGCTCTAACATCATAATATTCAATGAACTTATGGTGTCTCTTGTGCGGAGTTTCCCTTATCTGCTTTGGAAAAATGAATACCACGTAGCCAAATGTCAATAATCGTAATTCAAGAGAACTTGGAATAAACTGCAATAGAAATGTTGGATTTGGAAAACCAATCACCTCTTTGACCTCACCATAGACCCCAAAAATTTGTAGAAGATCTTCATTGGAAATTGAGGGATCCAAATTAAAGGCTACCAAGGTTCCTTGATTTATATCTTTCTCAGATGGATTATTCTGTTGAAATGAAAGAAACCAAAGAAATGAATGCAACATTCAATAACCATATGACAGATGGGATAAACAATAACTATTGAAAATCTGCTCAAAACCTTGGGAATTGAGAAGTGAATGTCAAGTTTTCTCCGCCGTAGTGGTTTGTTTTGCAATGCACGCATAGCAGTTCGAGCAGCACGAATGTCATAATAAGATATCATTACAAAGCCCCTGTGTTTACAAGCAGTATACAAAGTCCTAATATCGCCATATTGCTGCAAGCCAGAAGGAAAAAGGGAAAAGGGGGGAAAGCAGCATGATGATGACATTAGCAATGGCCATAAATCAACACTACCAGCATATCAGGAAATATGCAGGTATGATTTGACAATCATATAGCACTGTGCATAAAATGGACAATGACGTGATTTTTAAATAACATACAAACAAATTGCATCACCTCAAAGAGAGCTCTCAGTTCTGAATCTTCGACGCTACTATTAATGTTCCGCACAAACAATGTTCTTGAAGGATGCTCTCCATAAGGATGTTCTCCAGCAACCGTTCCAATGCCATTTGAATAGGTATGAGGAGGCACCACACTTCCAACTATACCATCACTTAAGCCTGCCCTTGAAGAACCAATGCTAGCCTTTTGTTGAGCATCTGTTTCCAATTCCAAGCCACCACCACTACTGAAAATATCACATTCTTCCAAGTCTTCAAGAGAGCTAGGAAGGCCATTCAGATCTAAATCATCCATTATGCCAGCTAGAAGCTCCTCCTCATCGTCAGGAAGTAAATGGCCAATTGCATGAGTTTCGATGTCTTCAAGCATATCATCCCCTTCCAGACCCGGTTTGAGATTCTTAAAGTGAGACGAGATGTCATCAACAGATTGAATAGCAACTCTTTTGTCAACCATGTTCACTGCATTTTACGGTTGAGAATGAAAGGATCTCAGATAACACTATATGGGATGAAGGATATTAGACAGTTGGCATTGGCAACACTTACGATTCACATGCGAAAGAACTGGCAATGAGCTTGAGAATAGTGTAGTAACACTTGAAGAATGGAAATCATCAGATTTTTGGAAATTACCCCATATGTTTTCCATTTCTTTGGGCTTAGATACAGGTGGAGTGTTAGAATTACCTACCAATGAGAAGAAAAAAAAAAACAAAGCAATTACTACACTCCTTTAACCATTCTTTTATGTAAATGATGGTTTTAAAAGTAACCTGAAAATGAATAATGTGAAGGCTCCTTCTGCATCACTTTCTGATCTTCTCTACTCAAAATATGCGATAAAGAGATTATTTTGGTGTACTTTTTTATATTGTTAAAAGAAACACGTCGTCGACGAGTTTTCTGCCAAGATGAAAGGAAAACTATTCACTGTCAGGATTGAGAGATAAATCCAATACCCAATGCAACGAAAGTTTTGTAATCCTCGATCAATCACAATCGGCTTTAAAAGCCAATGCCCGAATAAATTGAAGGTCCTAACCTAATGATGATCAAGAAAATTTAAAAGTATACTTGACTTCCAACTGTACAATATACTTGGGATTTTAGATCGAAAATGTTAAATTGCCACTAAACCAAAAGTTCTATAGATTGTGGTATATTTAATATTTGAATATAGGCTCAAATATGAAATTGATTAACGAAACTCAACAGATGAACTACTAATATAATATCAACTAGAGAGAAAATGACAATGCAAAGATTCAAACACAACATTTCTCAGTATCATCAAATCATTACTAAACTCAAAAGTAGTGTAGATTTAATAGTTTAATATATTCTTAGTACAAAAATTGTCAGACATACGAGACAGGCCATGGCTAAATGAAGACATCAGCAACTACAAGGAAATGTAACTTCGATTCTAAAAGCACTGTACAATGTAATTCAAGTTCAACTCAAAAGGGTTAACGAAACAAAAGTTCAGTAAGAACCACTTCACAAGAGGAGGAAAAAGAAGAACACAAAACTGAACAAGTCAAGCCAAAACGATCCTTCGCAAACACTGTATATATTTCAGCAAAATCAAACCGCATATGGAAACAAAAGCAAAAATCGAGACTTCGAAACCAACACATACAAATTTTCATGTAATAAAACGAACAGGGAAATTCAAAATACGTTCCAGCTAAAGACAGAGACAGAGAAGTTACAACAAAGATTAAGGCAAATACACCCCAAAAAAGTACTGAATAAACCAAACACGAACTCCCAAAATCCAGCTCAAAGCAATAAAACTGCAAAACCAAAACAAGAAAAATCTGCAGAAACTTACTCCAACGAGTAGCCCTCCAAGACGACGATGATCAAAGAGAGAAACGGCGGTACTGAAATGATGCAGCACAGAGTTGTTGCTGCCGAGAGCAGCGGTGCAATAGTGGTAGTGAAATTGAAATTTGGGAGTTTATTGAAATAGAGAGAGGGAAGAAAGGACGATGGTGGGACGAGAAAGAAGTGAAGAATCATCGAGGGGAAAATGGAGGGAAGAAGCGAGTCATGTGCAGCAGCTTAGATAGGGATTGCTAAAACTCATTCTACTTAACTTCCGAACCTACCAAAAATATAAATACTTTAAATTTTCGATTATCCACTTTGTTCAGTTTTTTTTTTTTTTTTTTAAATAAATGATAATAAAGGAAAAAAGGAAACTAAAAGCCTCTCATGGTCAATGGTGAGATTCCACATTTCATTTCATTCTTATAGTTTATTCCAATTTTTATCTCTACTCACTTTTTTTTATATTTTATGAGGATTATATTGTGTTAGTCGAAAATCATTAAAATTTTTAATAAAATCACCCACTCTTATCATTTTTGGAAGATCAATTTCACAAAATGATAAAAAAAAAAATAAAAAAAAAAAAGAGTTATATTATAACTTTTTTATGACTTGAAAAAATTTATAAATTTCAATAAAAGAAAAAGAGAAGGAGTGACCCGGACGGTCGGACCGGAACCCGGATAACTAGTCCCCAAAACCCTAATGCGCATCTACTCTACCCATTATATGAATATAAACCAAAGGTGATGCAGTTCGAGTTCGGCGGTCTTGGAAAGCAAGCTCCGATTCCTATTGCCGGTATCCTTCTCCCTCTCTCTCGCTCTACTCTGTGTATAACTTATAGCTTTAAACCTATACCATTTCAATGCATCTTTGCAAAGTTAGGTAGTTTGTTTCTAGTTAAATGCGATTTTAAGCTGCAAGTGGATTTATTTTTTCTGCAAGTTTGTTCGGTGGAGTAAACATCCTTGCAATCAGTCAATTTGGAACTGAGAAATCTGCTTGGTTTAGAGTTTGTAGGAACTAAGAAGATATGGCGGTGCCGTTGCTGACGAAGAAGATCGTTAAGAAGAGGGTTAAGCAGTTCAAGAGGCCTCAGAGCGACCGCAAGATCTCTGTCAAAGTATGTGCATGGACTTTGACTAGTTTTACTCTGTACATTTAGTATTTCTACTTGCCAGTGATTTTGTATTCAAGTATGTTCATATTTGCATACGAGAGTTTTGCTTCGCTCGGCTTATTTGCGGTGTATTATTTATCTCGATATTTAAAAAGTTGCAAGTGGTTCTGTAGGTTATTTTCTGCTAGTCATTCATCTGTAGGTTATTCGCTGTTAATAATTCATCGTAGGTTATTCGCTGTTAATAATTCATCTTAGGTTATTCGCTGTTAATCATTCATCTGTAGGTTATTCGCTGTTAATCATTCATCTGTAGGTTATTCGCTGTTAATCATTCATCTGTAGGTTATTCGCTGTTAATCATTCATCTGTAGGTTATTCGCAGTTAATCATTCATCTGTAGGTTATTCGCTGTTAATCATTCATCTGTAGGTTATTTGGTATCTATCTCTTCCCTTCAACTCGTGGTTCTTACTACATTCATATCTAACGTTTTTTTGTTATTGTAAAAAGGTTGAAATCTCATATAGGGCTTGATTACTCTCTCTTGCAAATGTTTTACAAATTTGTGCAATATGTGTTGGGAATTTACTTCGTGTTTGTATAAAAACTGGCCTCCTGTAAGTTTACTGAGTGCTTCCTCAAATGTACGGTTGACAGACAAACTGGCGTAGACCAAAGGGTATTGATTCTCGTGTCCGAAGGAAGTTCAAAGGATGCACTTTGATGCCAAACATCGGTTATGGTACTGACAAGAAGACCCGCCATTATCTTCCTAATGGATTCAAGAAGTTCGTCGTGCACAATGTGAATGAGCTTGAACTGTTGATGATGCACAACAGGCAAACTACTAATCTCTTTCACATTTCATTTAAATATGTCATTACTCCTTTAACTTAATGATTAACTACATTTGGAAAGGTAATCTTACATGGCTGAGTTCTACTCAATTATGTAATTTCAGGACTTACTGTGCTGAGATTGCACACGATGTGTCCACAAAAAAGAGGAAGGAGATCGTGGAGAGAGCTGCCCAACTCGATGTAGTTGTCACCAACAAGCTTGCTAGGTTGCGCAGCCAGGAGGATGAATGAGGAGCCGCCTCCTAGACTCTCTTTTTGTTTTTATTATTAGTATTGTCCTTTTAATACCGTCTTATGAATATGTCTGTTATTGCAGCTGCCCTGGCTTTTGCTGTTTTTCTATTCTACTCAATGTCATCCTTTATTTGACTAAGATTTCTAATTCCATCGTCATTTTTGGTTATTTTGAACTTTCTTTCTGCTTGATTACGGACCATCAGCATCCACTCCACTGAACTGGTGGATCGATTTGATCGCTCGTATTTTGGCTTGGCTGTGGGGCTGAGATTTACTAGGGTGAATGCACATCTTGAACAAGGTAATTTACAGTTGAAACGCTTATTTTATGAACACTTTTTGGTAAGAAACACAATTTAAGTGCTTTTCTTGAAAGTTCTTTCAGGTGAGGGGTTATGTTTTTGGGTACTTTTAAAGCTGTAAAAATCGCAAGTTTTTAACGGATTTGCAAATTTTCATTTCAACACATCAGAATAGTTGGTTCTCAAGTTCCCAAGTAAAGGATAAGATGATTCTATTGACTAGTATATTGAACACCATAGAATCTACTTCCAAACTTATTATTCATAGCTAGAGACAGAAGAATTTTATATGTGATGTTTGTGAGTAGTAGCACACACTAATACTGGTAATCACGTACATGGAAGTTTCAATAGGTATAGTATAGTGGCCATTTGCTCTTTGTTTCGTTCTATCCCTCAAAGCCATTCGGAAGCTGCTTCAGTTCTCTCAAATTCTTAGTGACCTGGAAAGTAGGCATTTTCGTGGTCTTGCTCTCAAGAGAACTACCCTGAGGTTTTCCATGGTTCGATTCAGCTCAGCTATGCAACATGAAATCTCCTTTTCCCTACATTTGTCATCATACAGGAAAGCAACGGTATGGATAAAAGAGCGATTGACCAACTTTGCATTTATCTCTACCGCTTGAAATAAAGCGATTTCAGGACTCAGAGCATTTGTGGGGGGAGAATTCTCCTCCCCAATTTCTCTATCCTTCAAAAGTTTCAGTTCATCAATTACTACGTCCACCTTCCGAGACGACGACAGAAACAGGAGTCGAACGTTGTCAAGAAAATGGTACTTATCCTGCTCTTTGTATTTCACTCTCTGTATATCTTTCAGTATCGAAGATGTATAGTCCATGAATTTGTAGAGTTTCAGCACAATTTCCTCCAGTTCTTCAAGAGGCTTCAAAGGCATATCAAACGGATTAACATTCCCTGTCTTCACTTTTGGACACTCTTTGATTTTGAATGTTTCTGAAGTATTCGATTCTTCCTGGTTCTTTTTAATCGGAGGAGTCTCATCTTCTTCAGTTTTATGCTTGGATCTTCCGTCACTTTCTTCATCCTTTTGTTCTTTCTGGAGTTTACTAGCAACGTATCTACGATCCGACTCCATGGCCAATTTGTTGAACTGAAGGATAATATCGTAATCATGATATTGAGAATGTGATGCATATCCTGGGAGATCTTCTCGAGTAGCTTCTTTAACTTTATGCTCAAATCCGCCATGGCTTTCTTTGTCTCTTTGCATATCGTGGTGACCGTAGAGAAGTTTGTCGTTTTGTTCTTGCTTGGAAAGATCAAACGCGTTCACAGGTTGACGAATCGATTCAATGAATAGTTCAAGGATAATGTCTTCGTTTCTACTGAAAGAATATCGGGAATGGTTTTCTTCTCGATTTTGATGTTTAAATCCGCCATGACTTTCTTCTCGATTTTGATGTTTAAATCCGCCATGACTTTCTTCTCGATTTTGATGTTTAAATCTGCCATGGCTTTCTTCTTGAATTTGATGTTTAAATCCGCCCTGGCTTTTTTCGTCTGCTAGGCTTCGACGATCTTGTTTTGTCTTGAATTCACGAACTGACTCCATGAACAAATCGTCCAACCGAAGGATAATATCTTCGTTTTTCTTGATATATCGAGAGTGTGGTGAATCAGCATGGAGATGTTGTTCAGTTTCAGGCTTGAATCCGTCAGGCCTTTCTCTGTCTGCAAGGAATTGACGAACTGCCTCCAAGAACAATCTGTTCAACCGAAGGATCATATCTTCGTCTTTCTCGATAGCATTTAGAGATTGCGATGCATCTTCATGGAGGTCTTCCTGTTTTTCTTCTTCAATTTTATGTTTGAATCCGCCACTACTTTCTTTGTCTGCAAGGATTTGTTGACGAGCCAAATCAGCCTCGTGCACTGATTCACAAACCGAGTCCATGAACGATTCGTGCAGCCGTAGGATAATGTCTTCGTCTTCCTTGATATCACATGAAGAATACGATATATGATCATTGAGAACTTCCTGATTTTCTTCTCCAGTTTCAGCCTTGAATCCGCCATCACCTTCTTTATTTGCAAAGCTTAGATCATCTTGTTCTTTCTTGAATATACCTTTATTTGCAAGGCTTAGATCATCTTGTTCTTTCTTGAATTCACCTTCTTTATTTGTAAGGCTAAGATCATCTTGCTCTTTCTTGAATTCAGGACCTGACTCCATGGCCAATTCAATGAACCGAAGGAGTATATCTTCGTCTTCCTTGATTTCTTTGTCTACCATGTATTAAATCTCAATTTGCAATCCCTACTGAGGCGTTTGCAGGTAAAAGACTGACAATCAACTTGAAGAAGTGATTCAGAATCGCAATGGGTGAAGAATCCGTCTGGTGATTCAAATTCTTCTCACCCTGTTCTCCTGCTTTATAGCCTACAAAACGGTTAACCGTTTTGAAACTTTCAATCTTTTTTATGCAACTTTTTAAACTTCTTTAAATCAATAATTTTAACGACTAACATATTTGATCTTGCTAGTAACTGCACACACTTTTAACAAGAACTTTTTTTTTTTTTTTATTATTATTATTATTATTATTATTATTATTTTAATATAATTTGCTTTAATTTCTTCGGCTGTTTAACTTGCTTTATTTAATCCTTTCCCTCCTTTTTTTTTTATTTCCTCTAATTTCTCTTTAGATGATGAATAATTTGTCAATATTTTTATATATATGTCATCAACTAAATTTTAGAAGGGTTTTAATAGATAATAAAATAATCTTTACCAATTTTTTTTTTTTTTTTAAATGGCATGAACTGAATTTAGAATTTATTAAAATTTGTAATTGGAAAATAATTTAGAGTTTTTCACAAAATTGTAATTGGAAATTATCACAAAACCCTCATTTCTAAAATTTATATTTAACTTTCCTGAGCACAAAATTAAAATTCAGAAATGGTTATGTTGTTCATTGGATTTCTTTTTGCACAATGGAACTAAATTCTCTCTTATATAAATAAATAATATTTCTAATATCAATATAAATATAATTTATTTATAGTTTGAATTAATTATGGAATATATGATATTAGTAATCTTTTATATTAGTTAGAGAATATATCTTAGATATTCATAAGAATATATTAGTTAGTTTATATTTTGAACCTCAGTTGCAATTCTATTTCTCATTCTTAAATCTGTATGGTTTGGTTGAGTAATAATATTTTCATATTTAGTGGTAGATATAGCTACATATAAATCTAATTCTCATACTTTGGCATTAATTTAATTATAATTAAGTTTTATAGACTTTTTTTCTTTTTTTAACCTCTTCATTTTATTGTTCAATTTCACATTCCTTGAAAAAAAATTTCAAATAAATAAAATAATTGCTATTTTGGTTAGTAATTCTTAGTGACGTAGAGATTGTCTTATAGTGTGTACTGTTCAAGTCATGCCAACAAATTTTTGCTGCTCAAATTCATTGTTCTATAGAGATAAGAAGATAAATGCATGAAATTTAGTAAGAACTAAGAAGACGTCTTGTGTTTATTAAAATCTGAAATTCCGGTATTTTATTTGTTGTACATTTTCATGGTTTTCAGTCCGCATACTCCCGAAGATATTTCATACAATTGTTTCTTGAACTGATTAAGCTCTTCCATACAGGCGATCAGTTCTTGTTTTGTGCAGTTTTGCTTTGCAGAAGCGCTAATATTCGGAGATCGGTCGAAGCTTTCATGCATCGTTTCCAGTTGATTCATAATCTGACGAATACGGGGAGCTATGATGAAATAGTTCTTCATTTGACTCAAATCATTCTTCATTCGCGCTAATTCAGATCCCAAGGTTTGGATGTTTTTTAAGAAAATCTCAGCCAGGCCGCCGCACTCATTTCTACCAAAATTCCACCTCTCCTCATCTTTGAATCGATTTCTCGCCATTAGAAGTATATGATCAATGTACTTACTGTATACATTCACGATTTCCTCCATCAATTTCAGTGGCTCCGCCATTTTCTCCCCTGATTTCACTGCCTCCATACTAAATGCTTCGCTACTCGAATCTGCACGCAGACGGATAACTTCAGGGGATCTTGTTCTTGCTCTTTTCGATGATTCTTCCGTATATTCCTCCCTTTCTCTTACTTCGAAACGACCTCGGATCTCTGGTGGAACATTAAACATCTTGATTTCTTCCACGGCCGCTATTCTCAGAGGTCTCTCCATTCGATATTGAGGATACGGTGACTGGAAATCATCAACGAGTTTCTGTTTCTTTCTCGAATCCTTTTGCTGATCATCATCTGGTGGAACATTAAACATCTCGATTTCTTTCACGTCCGCTATTCTCAGAGATCTCTCCATTCCATATTGAGGATACGGTGACTGGAAATCTTCAACAAGTTTCTGTTTCTTTCTCGAATCCTGTTGCCGATCATCTTCTTGTTCTTTCGGATCTATATCCATCGCTCGATTCGTTCCACTCAAGATACGATCACTATCTTCTTCCCCTTTCTTGATTCTTCTTCTCTCTTTCTTAGTGCTTCTTTCCACCGTCTAATTCCGATTTTCAAATGATTCAAATCCCCGTTTCCCTGTTTTCAAACTCACTCCCTCACCATTTTATATTTATATACCGTCTATTGTCATATCTTGTAAAATTATTGTTTTTAATTGAATTTTTATTAATATAATTTTTGGCTTTTCTTCTTCTTATTATTAATTAATTATTTTTTAAAAAATAATATCTTAATTATCTTGTAAAATTATTATTATTATTTTTTTTTTGAGTTTGAGAGAAAAAAACATATTTTCAATACATTGCATTTAAAAATTATTTATTAAAATAATAATTTTGATAAGAGATAAGAAAAGAAGGAAGAAAAAGGAAGATATTTTGATTTGATATATGTTGGAATTGTTAGGAATCACAAACTCTACTTTGAGTATAAGTTGTCATAGGTTTGCTTTGAGTTTACCAAAAGTTCATACCAATGTAAATAGTATTGACCCAGATTTGGACGCCTAAGTAAGATTAGGGGCATTCCAAAAACTTGGAGATCCAACTACAAAAAGAGTTTAGTCTGATACAAGATTGCTCTATTCCTTTTTTCCTTTATTTTTAGATTTAACATATTCCTTACTTATAAATTCGTAATATTTCACTAAATTAATTGAGTATGAGACTCATTTCTAGTAATCCTCGATACAAGAAAAAAGAAGATATTTTGATTTGATATAAGTTGGAATTACAAAAAATAATGTTCCCTTGATTTCTTCATAAGTTTTAAAACTTCGCACACTAACTCATCAGCGCCGTTCTTGCACTGTTTCAGCTCATGCTCACACACCCGCAATTCTAAATCCGTACAATCCTTCTCAGAAACAATCCCGATGTTTGGAGAGCCTTCCATACGTTCGTCAATCTCATCCACTTGAGACAAAATTGTATGAAATTTCACATATTCCTCCCTCATATCCTTCCTCTTCCTTATCCGTCGCATTTCGTCATTCATTATCTGCACCTTTCGTATTACGCCATCCAACAGATCCGCGCCTTCTTCCAGTTGAGATATCCAATTCGGTGCACCTCGACGCCTCTCTATCGCCATCTCCATCACATGCCCAATGTATACAGAGAATCCCAATGTAATACAGCGGAGCAATACCAGAGGATCGAAAATTATTTCAGGTTCGTGTATTTTCTCTTTTCCTTTTCTTGAACTGCTAAATTCATTGAACCAATTCTTGTTTTCCTTTTTCTGCTTCTTCCTGTCGAAGCTTCCGTCGTCCTCCACGTCCTTTATTATTAAACGCCCTTCTTTCTTTCTCCTTTCGACTTCCTTCATCTCTGGATCTTCCAACTCTTTAAGGTGTGAACGATTCCATAATTGGAGTATTGTCTTCAAATGTTTTTTCTTGAAATTGTATAGCGTTTGTGCTGCGATTACTTGGTTCTCTGTTGTCGATCTCACTTCCTCGTTTTGTACGATTTCTCCGGGATCATTTTGTTTATTCTCCACATTGTTCATATCTTCTTGCGGATTTTCTTGTTCTTGCTCGTGTTCTGCGGCCGCGTGCACGGATTCTCGATTTGATTCGTGTGCCATTTGCGCAATCGGAGGCCGATTTGCTTTCTACTTTCTCGGCTTCCTTGAGTTCGTCAGTTGTTGCGTTCTCAACCTCAATGTTCTCTCCTCTGTCGTAATTATATACAGCTTATGGTTAAAACCGAGTAATTCTTTTTTAAAATTAACCACGGTTAAAGTACATCGGTTTTTAGAAGGGAAAAATATATATTATTTTATTAAAATATGGCTTATTAACTATAATTTTAGTAAAGTTTTAAAATTTGAAAAATGTGTTTAATAAGTATGGGATGAAATACAAAATATACGGATAATTTAATTTCTTAGTTTTTTAATAACAATTTTGATTTTTAAAATTAAGCCGAGAAAAGAAATCAAGTCACTTTTATATTTTAGTTTTATGGGAGACTTATAATAATGTACTTTGTTTGAGTGAAGATTAGTTTAGTGAAAGATCTGAGTTTATAAGTGAGGAATACTGTCTTCATTGTTATGAGACATTTTGGGGGAGCTCAAAGCAAAGTCATGAGAGCTTATTCTCAACGTGGACAATATCTTACTAGTATGGAGATCAGTGATTCAAAACATGTTATCAGAGTTATGCCCTAAACTTAATTATGTCATTAGAATCCTCAAATATCAAACAAAGAATTGTAAGTCTCGATTAAGGGGAGACTATCTAGTGAGGGTGGGTATCCTTACTAATAGTCGGACAAAACATTGACTAGATTGATTTCATTCGGCATTAAAAGGCTTTTTTGGACGATCGTGTTAAAGATGCTCATTTTGACCGTTGATTGTTTGATATAAATAATAAGGAGACTAGTGTGTTGATTTAGATTGGTGGGTGACAGTTTGAATTAAAAGGGATAAACAAAGAACACGAAACAAGATTAGGGAATGATGTTGAAAATCCATAAGAAGAGGTGATAGAGAGAATGAGATGTTAGTTACAGTTGGGACTTGAAATAACTTTCCTCGTTTGATGCCTTATTTATTCCCTTCAGTTCTATGATTACCTCCATCAGCTCACTCAGTTCTTTCTTGGAACGCTCAAGCTCGACCAAGCTCGACGGCAACACACGCTCTGTAAATTTGGGGTCTGAAACAAGGGAGATATGAGGAGAGTAGCTGATTCGTGAATTCAAATCTCGAATTTGATCTATGATATCACAAAGATGAGTTTCTCTGAAGGAATATTCCTCCTGCAAATTCTCATCGTTCTTCATCCGTTCCATTTCAGCAGGCACTCTCTTCAGCCTCTGCTTCAGAGTCTCAACCAGGTGCTTTCCTCTTTCAAGAATCTTGCTCCATCTCTGCATTTCCTTTTCTTCTTCATATTTCCGTTCTTCTTTCAGCATCTCAAGTATGAACTCCACGAACTCGTGGT